ATATATATTTGCCTACCTAGTGAATTTTGGTTACTTTTTTTTTCTCCTAGAAGTCATCCCTTCCCCTGGATTTGCTTCCATAATTACTAGATACGCACCTGCATGAGTGTAAAACTTAGTGTATCAATCACACCTTGGTGGTTGAGCCTCCCTCTATTACTACTCTGGGCAGGAATTGCACCTCTTCCAATTTTACCTCTAGTGCTCAGCAGTTGAGTTTTAATAACTCTGTGTTAGAATCTGAGTTGATTTGAATATAGAAATGAGTAAAGGGGGTTCAACTCGCCAGACCGTACAAGACATTGGGGGCTTTATGGCAAATATTGAACATCAATCAGAGCAAAATGGGACCAAGAATGATGCTGAGGGCCCCCTGAGGCAGTGAACTAGACGTGAATGGCCAGGAGGGGTGGACAAGAAATGACTTTTTGAATTTCAGAACTATGCATTGATTTGATCACTTAGAAGAATGTCCCAAGAAAACATGCATTCAGGAAGATAAATATGTAAAGAAAGTTATTATACCATTTAGAGTGGAAACAAAATATAAATACTCCAGAGTTCTACCAATAGGCATTCATGGGAGAAATTGAATCATGCCACTGCACACTAGATGGTAAAATGCAGCTGCGCTGGAGAAGCCAACCTATGAACGTGGGTATGTGCACACACTCACATGTGCATGCATTAAAGTTTTGGAAGACATATCAAAATGTTTTGGCATAAGAACAATGATTTCCATTTTGAGTTTGATGATCAGGCTCCTGGTCTGACATACTGGCCATCTCATTGACAAAGTTGAGTTTCCGCATTGAATGTTGAAGGTACACTCTTCTCTCCTAACCTGAAGTAGATGACAGAACCAAGATATGCCATCATATAAAACCAGGCAGTTCTGAGGATAATATTGAGTGATTAGAAGGTGTACCGAGATCAAAGCTGGGACCTCCGGTGATGGATTCATTAATACACGACGGCAGCTATTTGTAGCCAGAAGTACCACCTTTCTTTTATCCTGGGTCTATTTGGCTTGGAATTCAGTTTCTTTCCACAAAAACGAGTGTAGAAATTTTTGGAGTGAATCTTGGGCCAATGTCATTCTAGCCCTTGGGGGAACACAAGTACTTTGTAAAAATTACCTGAGTTCCTCAGTTTTTAAATAAAGATTCGAGATGGAAATGGTAGCAAGTTGCTTGGGAAACCAGGGTAAGAGTCCTGAGCTAGCTACCTTGCTAACAGGCTTCCCTGGGATGTCCTACCTGTGGTGCTATCCTGCTGAACACATTTCATTCTCTTCTGATGTTCCAGTCCTTTAACAGTTTGAATCTCGGGGCATTCACAGTGGAGCTAAGTGCAGAAGGGAAGAATTCCCAGTCCCACAAAAGCAGCTGAAAGACTCGATTAAAAGTAATTTGGTTTTAAATCATGTCTCTGTAACTCACAGGTTGATCTTGGGAACTTGCATAAATTCCGAGCCTTTGTTCCTTGCCATTGATAAAAGCAATGATAATATCCACCTCACAGGTTTCTCCAGGGAAATACTTTCAGGCTGTACGCAGACAAAATTTTAGGCGGGGTGGGGAACGCAAAGCAGGGTCTCTCAGCTTAGACTGGCTTTGAATTTGCTATGTAGCCAAGGCTGGCTTCTACTTTTTAAGGGCTAAGATCACAGACCTGTGCCACCATGCTTTGATTTAGACAAACTTTTTTCTTTTTGGTCTTTTTGGGACAGGGTCTCCCTGTAGTCCCAGCTGGCCTGGAACTCACTGTGTAGACAACTGGCCTTGAACTCCTAGGGATACACCTGCCTCTGCCTCCCGAGTGCTGGGATTAAAGGTGTTCACCACCATGCCCAGCCTAGACAAACTTTTTTATTGGATTATTATACTTTTATTTCAATGTCGTCTTCTGTGTCAAGATACTGCTTTTTTTCTCCTCTTGAGGCAATAACAACATTTAAAATAAATACAGCTGAATAAAAAGTTGAATTATTATAAGTGAAAATATTAAATGATTGTGTCCAAAACTTTGAAGAGGATAGATATGGTAAAGACAACTTTGTGAAAGTGGACTTAAAGAAGTCTGGGTATAGCTTAGCCATTTCACATTTTAAAAATTTGTACCATTAAGTCTTTTATTTTAAAATATTTTATTTATTATTTTTATCTTATGTGTATGAGTGTATTGCCTGCATGCATATGTGTGCACTCATGCCGTGCAATGCCACGGAGATCAGAAGAGGGCTTCAGACTCCCCTGGAACTGGAGTCAAGGACGGTTCGTAGCTACCATGTGGGCCCTGGGAATCGAACCCAAGTCCTCTGCAAGAGCAGTCAGCGCTCTCAACTGCTGAGCCATCTCTCCAGCCCTAGTATCATTAAATCTTAATGAAGAAAATCAAGTATGGATTATAAGTCAGTAGAAATGAAAAGTGTGCCCTGAATCAAAAGTGAAAATAAGCCATTGGTTAAAATTATTTATGAAAACGTTATAGCTCTAGTTCCAATTCATCTTTTAAAACAATCTGTTTGGAGAAGAACAAAGGTCAATAGGCCAGACACACTTAAATTAAACTACAGTAACAAATAGTTATTGTACCTTTGAACCTGAGTTGAATTTAAAAAAAAAAAAAACATGTTTACAGTGCTCAGGTGATTTAGGAATGGATAAGATGTAGAACCAAGAGCAGATATTTCTATCTTTATCTGTGGTCCAGTTGCTTGTATTAAATGCTTGAGTACATGACCAGATCAAGTCCATAGGAGCACAAACTCTGAGGAGCATTGTGGTAAACTGGCAAGACACCCCAGTTTGATCCTGGAACCCACATAAAGGTGAAGGAAAAAAAGAGACTCCACAAATTGTACTTTGACTTCCGTATGTGTGTCGTGGCACGTGTACTCACACGCATGCACACATAATGAATAAAAGATTTAAAACTAAAATAATAAGTAAATAAAATAGCATAGTGATGCCTGTCATTTCAGTACTAAGAGAGCTGAGCAGGAAGATTGGGAGTTCGAAGCCAGTCTGGGCCCTGAGGAAAAGGAGAGTGAGACCATAGAGGAGGAAGGCGGGAAGGAGAAAGATTAAGCCTCTTAAAGAGCACTTTGCACAATATACCCTTAGGTGATGCTAGGACCATATAGAGCTGACAAAGGGCAGGAAGGATAGAAGGTAACTCTGCAACCTACTGTTGAAGTTA